CATCAGTATGTGGAACTTAGGAGACACATTCAAACCATAGCTGCGGGTGTTTAGTATTGTGAGTGTGGCAGAGAGTCTTTATTTTTATCTGTGCTTCAATAAAATTATGAAGTGGCCTTATTCTGTGTCATTGTATCACGGTCTCAAGGCAGCCTTGTCTGAGGTTGACATTCTGTGCAAGATTATTTTTCTCCAGTGAAAAAATACTGTGGCTTCACTGAAAGCCTAGGCCAGCTTCCACAGGTCAGGGCTGCTCTTTCTCTCTCCTGATGCTTATCAACAGGCACATAAATAACTGGAAGAAAAAATATCAGCATAGACATTAATATTTACCTTCACGTTAATATTGGTTACTGATTTGGCATTTCTCATTTTAATAACTCCTCTTTACATTGCATCTACATTTCTAGCTTTTATTGGTGCCTTTTGCTCTACTCTTTATCTCGATTCCTTTAATACTATAATGAGCTCATGACCCATTGATTCAACCTGGACCATTAAATATGGCCATATTACCATTGTGAATTACTGTTACTCTACCAGGTCCTTCCTGGTGGGTGCAGCTTTGGGAACTGCTCCACATGTCTCCAAAATTATCCTGGTTATCTAGAGTAGTAGATGTCACAGGCCCAGGAGTCCTGGTTCCTGGGAGTGGAGACTAAGTGCTGCACTTCTGGCCTCTCCCCACATAGGTGTGCTTGGGGGTGGCAAGATGCTACTAGAAAATAACCTCAGTTTAGTCTGATTATTCCAGTTCAGCAGGCTGTGTCGCTATCCCTGTTTTATTGTTAGAATGCTTACATTCATCACTCACTAAGCTGTCCCCTGAGCTAACTTTCACATCAAGAGTCAGGCTGATTTCTTACTGACGCCTCCTCAAACTCCCTCTATCATCTTTTAAGTTCGCGCATCAAAAACCAAAATTGTGCTGTGGTTAGGAGTCACTAACTAGTAGATAGGAATTTCTGTCTTCTTTATAATAAAGAAAAGAAAGAAGCCATAGTTACAAGTGTAAGAAAAACGAACTAGCGCAAAGAAGCGCTCAACTTTTCCCACTGCAAAACAGCTATGTTTCATTTTTATCTTAACTTTAGGAAGTATGCTAAGTCCATGTCTGTGGGAGCGTGTGTGTGTGTGGCGGGGGGTGCTGGGAATAGGTCATATGTTTTAAGAGTATTCTTACACTGGGTGTTGGAATATACCCAGTGTAATATTGTTAGAGTGTGTGCTCTGGAAATAGGATGGATTAGTAACTTTTGGTAAATAACATTTCTGAGTTTCAGTGCCCTCATTTGAAAACTGGGGGAGGGGATAATAGTACTTTCTTCTAACAGGGCTATCCTGAGTATTAAAAATAAGCCAATGCCTACAAAGGACTTAGAATGTTGCTGGTACAATATAGATGAACAATAAATACTAACTCTTTCATTTTTCTTTGTCTTGATCTTAAAACTTAGACATTTATTTACTTTCTATTTCAGTAGATAAGAAGTTTCACTTATTTTTACACTTGGCCTAACTTGCCCTCCCCACCAGCTTCTAGTACCCTTAAATCACTACTTTTATGTTCTTTATTAGAGACTTTGGAGCTACGGACAACTAACTTACACTTCTGCCTACGCCCTCAAGGGCACCCCTGTTTCTTGATCACGGGCTTCATGAAAAGAAGATATTAACCCTCCTTCTTGTGCACTTAGTGATTGATCCCTGAGCTACTGCAACCGCACTGTAGCTTTCACACTGACTGGAGACAAGTACATTGACGTCCCATATTTACATATTCAATTTTGTGCTAGCAGATAAAAATGAAGTGAGTACATTTTCATTTTTGTAATCTTTGCAATATTTCTTACCAGAGAGTTAATTTGTATAATATGGCTGCATGTATTTCTCATAAAATTTTAAATTTTGCTGATATCTCTAACTGTCTGCTTCTCCTTCATCATTCTCTTTCTTTCAAGCTGTGAATCGTATGAGGCGTTATTTCAAGTTCTCTGAGCCCATAGGACTCCTCATTGCTCTGTTCTTGGATGGGTATTCTCTATGTCTAATGCATACACAGCTGTAATCCATGGATTCTTTTCCCTCTGGTTGGATTTCCCTGTTTCCTGGATCCCATGTCTTTTCTTGTTTATCCCTGCCTTTGTATGAATACACAGGAGGGGGGAGAAGGAGGGAAAAGAAAGAGAAAGAGAAATGCACACTTCTTTTTCCACCTACCACACCCCTTCAGAATACTTTTTAATAAAATATTATGTACAGGAACTTTTCTATTCCTCTTTTAGCTCCACTTGTTTTGACTGTATGGATGCTTCCCCAGCTTTCTGTTGTTGTACCCACGAGAGGAGCCAGGGCCTCACACCATAGTCACTCTACCGTAAAGCTACTTCCCCACCACTTTTTATTTTTTCATTTTGAGCTAGGATGTTGCTAAGTTGCCCTGGCTGGGCTGGAATCACCATCCTCTTGCCGCATCCTCCAGAGTAGCTGGGATTACAGATACATCACTGTGCCTGGATCGTTGATTTTTTTTCTGCAATCTCTCCCTAGAGTTGTTTATGAATCATCTTTTGGTCCCCAAGAAGCTTTTTTTTCTTGCTCCATTAGATTTTCCACTTTTCACTGTATCTTATTCCCACTTTTTAAAAATAACTTTATAAGCTCCCTACAGATATATTTTGGGATTTAAAAAATTCTTCTTTGTCTTGAAAATTATTTACCTCTTTTGGGGTGGCATTTCTGTGTTGATGTCTTTCTCACACACCTGACCTTAGGCTGCACATTTGTATTTAACAGGGGCTCAGGCTTTCCTGTAGGGTGGTTGGAGACTCCCTAAATGCCAGAACACCAAGATATTTCCTTCTGGGAACTTCCCATTCACTCATGTCGCCTTCTATTTCTTCCCACACATGGTATAGACTCATAGCAGCCATGAATATCCATATTCATCAGCTTTCCCATCACTAGGACACAATAGCCAACACCCACCACCTAAGGGAGGAGGGATTAATCTGCCTTACACTTTCAACAGCTTTGGTCCATGGGTGGCTGGCTCCAAGACAGAAGCATCAGGGCAGAAGGGTGCAGCAGGGCAAAGCTGCTTAGCTCATAATGATCAGGACACAGAGTAGGGAAACTGTGCCATAGAAGAAAGGGGCCAGGCACCGCATATGCTATCCAAGGTCACACCTCCACGAGCCACCAGACACACCCAAAGTGTGCTTTTCTCATCTTCAAAGCAGTTCTCAATCCAATCAAGTTGACATGTCTTGATTGACAGTCACAATACTCTATAGGCTTGGGGCCAGTGAACTCATTCCCTGCCTGTCCTCCAGTCTCCCTGTAGGGGGCTCTCTCTGCCTCACACCGTTCCTGGCTATGCTTCCTGTGCACTTCTCTGGGTATGAGCTCCTGCCTCTCTGCTTGATTCATTCACCCTTCAGTCCAGTTCTGTCTCCCAAGTATTTACTACAGGCTCTGCTCTCCTGTTGGCCTCACTCTACTGCTTATGAACAGCAAGGTGAGGAGAAGCAGTGTGGTGGTTCCTGAGTGTATCTGGCTGGGTTTGAACCCTGTCTTTATCACTTAGTAAATTTCTGATGAACAGGTCACTTACCGTCTGTTTTTCAGTTTCCTCATTTGTAGACAGGGATGTGAATGGTACACACTTCAAAGGTTATTGGAGGAATACTGTGAGTCATTACTAATGAAGAATTAGAGCAATTGTAGTACAGAGTGAAGCCCATAAATATCAGTCATTATTATCATTATCTACTATCACACTAATAAGGGCCTTCCCTATCATTTGATTTGAGTCTCAGGAGAGGCAATCAATGAATGCCCTCTTACCTTTTTAAAATAATGCTAAAACATAATCCCTATTTGCATTCTTTCCTCATTTTCCAAGACAAGAACACCACGACGGGCAATAAGAAAATTCCTTCTATATGCAGACCTCGTTTTTTTTAAGACTACTGACAACTGATAGGAACGAAAACCATTGTCACTGTCTGTACCACTTGAGTTTAAATACTACACCTTCTGAGCCAGGCTTTCTCTAATTCTAGAAAAACCTTAGAAAATAATATGAAATAAAAGCAAAGTCAAATGTAAACAGAACGTTCACTGCACTATTATTTATATAAAGAATTAAACACAATCAAGCAGCCAACGTGAGAGGTGACCGGGCAGCCACAGCAGGGGCAGGGTCTGACAGGCCTCCAGGCCTTCATGGGATGGAGGACCTTGAAGAGACAAGAAGGAGGTAGGGTTGGGAAGCCCTGAGCATGGGAGGAGGGGCCCCAGGAAATTTACCAAACAGGCCCATGGGCACAGAGTACAAGCCCGGAAGTGTAAGAGAGTCACTGGCAGTGAAGATGTATACACGAGTAAATATTCTGTGCATTTAAGGAAATATCGTCATTGAAAACACGGGATGTGAATCAGAAAGACTTGCCTTCAAGGCCTGGCTCCAGCACAACTGTGAAAATGTGGGCACTGACGTGACCTCTGAGGTGCTTCCCTCTGCTTTAACGCGAGAGCCCGAAGGTCCTTGCCCCATGCAGTGTGCGATCATGGAAGGAGGGTAAGGAGGCCGCCATGACAGAGTCTCAAGAAACAGCAGCCATTCTCAACAGTGAGCACAAATGTTCCCCGCCCCAGGACCTTGCTAGAACCGTCCAGCCCATCTGATTTTCTGCGTGTGGATTCTGATAGTTTCTATAAGGTGGTGTCCTCACCCCTTCCCTTCTCCCTGTCCCTCACAGGACCCGAGCCCTCTGCCTTGACTGAGGTGAGGGCACAGGGAGTTGGAGCTGGGTGGCGGCCTTTCTTTAAATAGCAGCCACAGAGCCCAGGGACAGAGAGCACACTGGGTAAACTCCACTTGAGCTTTTCCTGCCATCCAGGAGGGAACTCCAGGACCTGTGGCTCCTCGCTGCTGCTCACTGTCGCCCCCTCTGGTTCCCCTTCTATCCCACAATTTGTTCTCTTCCCTCCAGCCTGGAAGACCCAGGGAGCTGAAAGGAAATCCTCTCAGAGACATCCCACTGATACCACGGAGAGTGCAGCCTCCCCAGGTACTCACACTTCCTCTGCCAGTTCTCGCTCACAAACTGCACGGAAACGGCACCAGTGAAGCTAAGCTGTCCTGTGGCGGAGTTGATGGAGAAAGGGGAGCCCCAAGAAAGACCCAGGGCTCTTCCAACCCTGGGCCTGTGGGGCTTCCCTCCCAATCCTCTCCTCAGGGCCAGAGTCCAGGTACTCACTTCCTCACTGTCCTGCCTCACAGCCAAGGCCTTAACTGGGGACAGGACAGCCTTGGAAAAGTAGAGGGCAGGGAAACAAGCAGACAGGAAGAGTGGGAGAGGAGGTGACAGTGGCCTGCAGTGTCCCCTTGCCTGCCACCTACACAGTGTTCCTGGCTGACCTCGGGACACTGCCCATGAGGAGGCCACTCCCTTCAGCTCTTTTCTTGTGAGGCCCACTGCTCTGAGTGGGTTAATAGTAACCCCGACTGTCACCAAACTGGACCTCAAGTGACTTTTGCCACCTGCCATCTGTATGACCGGGAGCCCTTACCTCCTTCATCTGTCACATGAGAACAACCTTTCCCATGGTGTTGTGAGGGTCATGTATAACATGGACACAGTCAGGACTGTGCCAGGCACACAGTAGGTCTCTCTCCCCTCCCAAGACCCTGTTAATCTGAGATGGGCACTTCCCTCTCACTTGGACCTCTGTGAGCACCTGCCCTGCACTGCCCAGGGTTTGTACCTGCTGACCAGGTGTGACTGCCTCAGGCAGGGACTGATTCTAATTATCTCACCGAAAAGAAAAGTTTGAAACTGACACAAGATGCGAACAACCCCCGCTTACTCAAATCAATGCCACCTTCTTTCAGTCCTGTTTTCTGCCACCTCACTCTGGTGCTCAAGTCTGTTCCTCAGTTCTTCTCCAGCCTGAGAGAAGGTTGTGCTGCTAGTAGTCAGGGTGAGAATAAAAGGGGATGGGAAGATCGGATGATTCCTTGTCCCCAGAAAGCCCTGGAATTCCTGCAGGAGCGTGGGGCTGGTGGATTCCTCAGGATAAGTTCTTCTTGTTTAGTAACTAGGCCAGCCAGGGGTCAGAGGTGCCTGGGGAACAAGTTCTCCTGAGACATGGAGAAATCGCAAGGAAGAGAGCAGTAGTCCACCTGCCCTCTCACCACCAACTTGGAAAATCTCCTTCAGTGATGGTCTCAGAGCCTCCATTAGTAAGAGAAGCCCTCTTTCGTGATAGTTATACTCAATAGTGCATGGAGTGAAGCCTTATCTTTAAGTTTTAAAAAACACAGGTACATTATAGAATAGAATGTGAAAAATCACAGCAATTTTAATTAATTTATATTTTCAGGGATTTTTTTTTTAGTCAGGGTATCACTATGTAGTTCAGGTTGCCCTTGGACTCACTATGCAGCCCAGGCTGGCCTCATACTCACAGCAATCCTCCTGCCTCAGGCTCCCAGATTATGGGATTACAGGCGTGCGCCACCACACCCAACCTGGGATTTTTTTTTTTTGAGACAGTTTCTCATTATTGTTCTCCAGACTGCTCTCAAACTCCTGGCTTCAAGTGATCCTCCTGCTTCAGCTTCCCAAGGGCTGGTACTGCAGACGTATGTGATCATGTCTAGCTAGGGATTTTTGAAGCATAGGTCTTCAAAGTAATGTTCAAAATTATTGACCAATTAGTCTTTAATCGAGATTCTGAGCTTTCTACCTGCTGACACTGGGCAGTCACTTCCTGTCTGAGTTCCTCTTTATGAAGTAAGAACAACACCTCTCTTATATGTATGCAGCAGGAAACACATTTTACAACATATTCAGGTACACACATGAATTTATTCTAGTTCCCAATCCTTTATCTGCAATTCCATAACTTACAAATCCCTGCAAACTACACAGATTTTGGGGCAGAAACCCTGGCCTCTACCAAACTGAGACTATTTACAACCATTAAGCTATTTATCTCACACAGTGACTGCATTCATTTTGTCTTATTGTCAAAACATTAATGCATTTAATTACTAGGATTAAGTAACGTACTGCATATGCTTTGTTTTCCCTTTTTGAAAGTTAGAAATTCTATTTAATTGTATATTTGAAAATAGTTAGGAAAGAGGATTTTGTGAGTTCTTAATCCAAAGAAATGATAGCATATACTTACCCTAAAATATCACACGGTAGCCCATGAGTGCAATTGTTATGTGCCAATTAAAAATAAAAGTAGAAGTTATTCTAAATGCTTTTAAAAGATTAAAAATTCTGAATTTCTCAGCAAATCTAGGTCCTTGGAATTTAGATATAGATGATAAATAAAATATAGTAATACCTCGGTTCATGAACACTTCTATTTTTGAACAGCTCAGTTTGCAAACAGAAGCGTTTGGAAAAATTTTGCTTCTGCTCCTGAACTCCACATCGCATGATGAACAGGACCGGGGGCATCTTCCCCAGAACTGTGGAACAAATGAAGTTCATGAACCAAGTTACCACTGAATATTAAATATATATTTTATATCAAATAATTGACAAAAACAATACTCACCCCTACTATGTTCGATAGAGTCTAACATTGTCAAATCCATTTCCTTTTCAAAATGCTCCTCTTAACCCAATAAACTAATTTCAGAGCCCAAAGATGTGTTGAAAATCACATTCTGAAGACACAGGAACACAGTGTTTGATGCAGTATACAGCAGGCACATGGTTGAGAGAAGCCATCGTTGGAACTGTCCCACTTCCCCTGGGCTGAGGAGTTCAATTTCTGATTGTTCTGAGCATGATAAGAAAATCATTTAAGCAATCTGTTTCCCAGCAAGGCATGATAACACTGCTGGGCATGGTCACTCACATTTGTAATCCCTGGGAGGCTGAGGCAGGAGCATCTAAAATTCTCGGCCAACCAGGGCAGCTAAGCAAGACCCTGTTGCAAAAGAAGCTAAAAAGGGCTAGAGAACTTGATTAGCACATGTGTGGCCCAGGAACCATTCACAGTACAAGAAAAAAGCAGCATGCACTTGCCTAGTGTGTTATTTCTCTGGGGCTGCATCATAAACACCTCAAGCTGGTAGGTTGAACAAAAGATGCCTATTTTCCCATACTTCTGCAAGAGAAAGTCCACAGTGAAGGTGGGCCAGGATCAGTTTCTGGTTTGCGGAGGGTGCCTTCTCACTGTGTGTGCATGGCCTTTCTCTATGCATAAAGATGGAGAGAGGGAGAGAGATCTAGTGTTTTCTCCCCTTTTATGAGGACAGCAGTCCTATTAACCAGGCCCCTCTTCTGACTTCATTTAATCTAAATTACTTCACATCCTTAAAGATTCTATCTCCAAATATAAGCACTGGAGGTTAGAGCCTTAACGTATGAGTTTGGGGGACACAACTCAATCCGTAACACAGATGACCCCATCAAAACACCCGGTGTGATAACTGCTCAGAAAGATGAACTTTGAACCCCCTGTACTCGATGCTATTCACACACTATCACACTCTCTTCCAACTTGATCCTTTTTTCTTCCCAACTAGATAGCAACAGCTTCATTGAGGACGTTGTTAAGTGTTTGCTGAACACAGTGAGCAAAGAGGATCTGCAGCAGCTGCTGACTCAAGATGAAGCCTGGGACAGTGTTAAGACAGAAGCTGAATTGTCCAGGTCAGCTCCATGGGGCACCCCAGCAATGCTACCCAAGTCCTGCAAGGCCAGCCTTCTCCGGGCAGACCAACATTCCCCAGGGTGTTTTCTATGTTTGGGTTCCAGGGCGCCCCCTCTCAATAGTTCCTAAGACATATTTCCTCCATGTCATCCCTGCCAGTGAATGGTCTTGGGGTAAGGGTAGATGGTGCTCATGGTGGGCAGGATGCTTTCTGCTGTCTCCTAGTATTGTGACCTTAGAAGTTACTTCACCACTTTCTGCCTTAGTTTCTTCATCCATTATTCTTTATGGTGAGAAAAATAAGATAATGTGTGAAAAGTGCTTAGCATAGGACTAGCACACAGTGAATGCTCCAGAACTGTTAACCTTTTTTAAAACCTGGTGGGCAGAAAGCAAAGCCAAGTATCCTTCCCTTGAGGTTAGAAGCCAAGGCAGACTTACTTTGGGACTAGCCCAAAAAACCTAGACATATATTTCTGGGGATTCTGGTTTCAGCCATTTACCTCCCATCTGATGAACCATACAAGGACAGTAGGATCCTTCTGTGGTCAAGAGTTAGACTGGATGGAGGAGAGGTAGATAGAGCTGTGTGGGACCCTTGTTATCACTGCCAGTTCCAGGGCTCCAGGTTCATGTCTTGAACACACTGCCATGTGCTCAATGTGGCCAGACCTCCAATGTGATAGGACTGAGGTTGAAGGCTTGGGAACAAAATGTGAGGCAGAGGAGGAGAACCAAATACGAGCACCCTTCCCAAAGGCCCAGACTGACCTGGACCAAGTTCAGAGCCAGGACTCAGGATGGAGCAAGAGAAGAGGTAGAATGCAGCACCAGTAAGAATGCTGGGGCCACAGCACTGGAACCATATTGAGGGGAGGCAGGTGCTGCTGAGGCAAAGAAGGGAGAGGCCATGGGCACAGCAGAGGATACATGAGGGGGGAAGGGGACCTTTCCTCCCATTTTGCTGTGACCCATCACTGGGAGGCATAGAAGGCTGTACGTCCTGCCTGGGTGCTGGGGAGCTCTCTACACCATTGAAACTCTCTTCTGTTCTACATAAAGTAGCCCCTGACCAACAGGAAGGCAGTGTGGCCAGCGACAACTTGGTGAGTCAGAATGGTCTGCTGCTGATTTTGTGTAACTCGGGAGTCTGAGGAAACTCGAAAGTCCTCCTCCAGAGTGTCACTGGCCAGCATGGATTCTTAGTGGCATCTCCTCTTTGAAGATGGAAGCCAGGAAGGACTTGCTTGGAAGGTGGAAATCAGACAGGGGCTGGTCCTTTAGCTGCTTCGCCATTGCTGATGACTGTTACCGTTGGCCATCCTCCTCCTTAGGGCTCGTAGTAGACAGTCCCCACAAGCCCCACCAGTGCTACCAATCAGCTTAGGGTTATTTTGCTTAATTCCCATAGAAAGCATGAATTGGTAAAATGTAGCCACTTTAAAGGTAACAGCCCTGAGCTTTGAATGCCAATAACCACCAGCTCATCCAGTCAGCAGCCCTCCTCACTGTGCAAGCCAGCAGCTCCAGGCAGGTCCTAGACACACTTCAGACACCTTCAGTGTTACAGCTCTAGCTCCTGGCTGCATTCAGCACCAGGGGCCTTAAAGTTACCAGCTCCCAGTGCACCCACTCAGAAAGCTGCACTCAAAGTGAAAATCACAAATAGGCAGAAATACCCCTGCAAAAGGTTTTGTTAGGACTTGCTATAAGAGGGAACAGCACACAGACTGGTCCCACTATGCATATGAAGAGTTTACTCCTCAGAAGAAAAGGTGGGCTCAAGGTTTTTGCAGCGTTAAATTTTCTTTTGGATTATGAGGAGGGAAGGGGCCCTCATGGATCTGAATGAGGAGCATTGTGGAGAGGCAGAATCACCTGAAAAGTTGCAGGATGGAGTCATCCAGACAGGCTTCAGGGTGGAGTCATGTGGTTAGTCCCACACTGAAGCTTGCTGTCGCCAAAGCAAATATCTCCAGAGCAGCTTCAGGCACCTGACATAGCCCAGTTATTGCAAGGAGTTTGGGGGGACAGATAAATAAAATAGTACCTCTTGGGGTACATCAGGCCCATGTCTCATGAGGAAAATACTTCTATAGAATCCTGTTCAAATTCAGGTCTCTTATGAGTTAAGGATTCATACAGATGGGTCTCAGATTCTCTTGCGTTTGCACTAGCTGTGGCTGCACATATGCAAAGCCATCACCATGAAGGTGCCATGCTGCTCACCCTGAGGTTGGGGATGACAGCCGGTGGGTCAGGTGTCAGTAAGATGGGAAGAGAATCAAGGGGGAGCCAGGCCTTCTGCATCCCAGTCAACCAGGGTAGCAGCTGGACCCAGTGACCTTCCATTGGGAAGGAGAAAGGGCATCAGGAATGGGGAAAAGCTGAGGGCAGAGCAAATAACACATACAGTCCTTCTAGCTCTACAGTTCTCATTTAAATTTTAAGTTCCCAGCGTTAGCCAAACTGCAAAGTCTATAGACACAGCCCCAAACCATCATTTTATTTGACACCAACTGCAAACTGGGGATTTCCCTCATCCACCCACAAATCTGATAACACATTAGAACTCACTGAAGGCAGTTTTGACACAGTTTCAGGTTATGAAAGAGAAAGAACACGATTTAAAATCGCCCGGAGGAAGAGATACACAGGACGGAGTCTGGAAGGGGTTCAAGCATGACTGTCCATTGTCCTCAGGACAAGGTGCAATTCTGAATTCAATGTGTAGCAATTCAGGTGGAGGATGGCCACCCAGGGAGGCTGAACCTGTGAAAGAGAAACTTACTCTGACGCATACGAAAACAGCCAGGAAACTTTGTTCTGGATGGTTGCACTAGGGGAGAGAGATGAGGACCGCACTGGATACAGTAAAGTCTCCCGGGCATTTAGAGACAACAGGCGGAGTAAGGAGTGCTAGAGAGCCAGTTCTAGCAGGGACATCAAGAATAGGAGGTTCTTTGATGCTGCTTTAACAGGATTTTCCCTAAAGGAAGGTCCAGGACTAAACACCAAAGGTCAAGAATGGGAACATGATGAGATACGAAGAGTGGAGATTCTCATCTCCCCAGTTTGGTAGGACACTGGCTAAGCATGGGTGATACCAGCCCAGCAGGCACAGAATGGACCTGGGAGGCCAAGGTCAGTGCCAGGTTGGGAAAAGGTTCAGAAGGGCCTAACTGGACTTTGGTCAAACAAACAGCTTTTGTCAGCCCAAGTCTGAGCATCTAGGGTTTTTGTAGGAGCTGGACACATATGTCTTTGTAGCTGACCTGCTGTCTCCCTCCTCTCCCAGGAGTCAGTGCCTTGAATCTCCACTTCCTCTAGAGGTCAGAAATGATCCCAATGTCCCTGTGATATATCACGTTGTTCACATGGAGTGTCCTTCATGAGAAATGCTTGGGAACAGAAGTATTTTAGAATCTAAGTTTTGTGTGTTTTGAAATGTATTCATTGATACATCATGAGCTATATTAGACTCAGGCCTAAACAGGAAATTCATTCACTTATGTTTCTTTACACTTTATGCGCACATTGTGATGGTAATGTTACACAATCCTTTTCACCTACCTGTGTTTGACTGTGATCTGACCCACGAGATCAGGTGTGGAACTTTGCCCTTGTGGCATCATGTCAGTGCTCAAAGGGTTTCACACTTCAGTGCATTTCAATTTAGGATTGTTAGATTAGAGTTGCTCAATCTGTATTGTCTTGTGACCAAATCCCAGGTACACATGCACTTCTAGCAGGTAGGACATTTCAGGGACTAGTTTCCAATAGCTGAGGGCAAAACAAAGGCTTACTCTTGATTGGGGTTAATTTTTCACTACACACTGAGCTTCCCTAAATCAAGGGGTTTTTTACTTCTCCAATCTCACTTCTCTTTCTTCACCTATGGTGTTGGAGCTCTAAAAATATATTTTTTTTTATTTTGATTTTTTTCTGGTACTGGGAATCGAACTCATGACCTTGTGCTTGCCAGGCAGGCGCTGTGCTGCTAAGCTAAATCCTCAGCCCCTCTAAAAATATTTTGGAAGTGATGGCACTGACCTTGAGTGAGAAGGTGTCTTCATCAAATGCCTCCCACTAGAGTTTTTTAAGTGGTTTCTACTCATTGTCCCTTTTGTTGAATAAACCACAGAGCGCCTAGTACGTGCCAGACATGTTCACCATTGAAGAAAAAATTCTGCACATCTATAAAATTCTTTTCCATTTGATTTACAAGCAATGCTCTGTGATTTATGCATAATCAATCTGATGGAGCCCATTTCACAGATGAAGCAATTGCCTATCTTAATCACTTGATGTTTGCTGTTACAGGGAAGAAGCAGATGAACTACGTGAAGCTCTGAAGAAGCACACAGCACACACAGCTGTGGAGGACAAAGACAGGCTCCAAGAAGTCCAGCAGGCTAAGGAGAGGACGTTGGCTGCATTTCCAAAGCTGAAAGAGGAGGTTAGAAAAGACATAGAAAAGCTTCGTGCACTTGCAGACCAGCTTGATCAGGTGCACAGGGACTGTACCCTCTCCAGTGTGGTGGCTGGATCCACCACAGCTGCCTCTGCAGTCTTGGGTATCCTTGGTTTTGCTCTGGCACCCTTCACAGCAGGTGCTAGTTTGGTCCTCTCAGGAGCAGGGACAGTGCTGGGTTTAGCGAGTGGTGTGACCAGTATTTCCACTAGCATAGTGGATTACTCAAAGACATCGTCAACTGCAGGTGAAGCTAAAAGCCTGGTGTCAAACATCATGTGCAAACTGACAAGGTTCATGCAGGATATAGGTAACTTCCCACCCAAAGTCGTTTCCTCAACTGAAAATTGGAGTCAACACCTGAAAGACATTGGGAAGACCATAGGTTCCATTAAGCAGGCTAAAGGTGACCATAACTTAATAATCAGTGCCCAATACGGCATGTTGATTAAAAATATCTGCTTGGGAAGTTGTAATCAGCTGAACACAGCCGTTAGACCTTTCCTTCAGGTAATGAGCATGGCACGGAAAGCCCTCAGAGTTGTCAGCATGGCCTTCTTTGTGATAGATATGATTGATCTTGCAAACAACTCAAAGCATTTGCAAGAAGGGGCAAAATCAGAGTATGCTGAAGAGCTTCGGAAGGTGGCTGCGGCACTGCAAAGCCATTTGGAGGACCTGGAGGAGATGTTCAGACTCAAATAGTCAGACTCAAGTCAGTGACCCCCGCTCTTCAGCAGTGCAGCCGTCAGAGGAGATGTGCTGGACAAAGCTGTGGGCAAGAGAAAGGCATTTTATTAGCAAGCAAAGAGGACTCACCCTCATAAGGGCTCTCCTGACTGACAGTAGGGCAAGAGACAGAGCCTTATCCCAGGCAAGTTTGCCTTTTTCACAAATCTTAGCTCATGTGCCTAAATTTGAAGTGAATCCTTGCTCCCTATCTAAATACCATTCTATTAAGGACTATTAAAAATAGTCCTCATATATTGTTTTCTGAGTCTGTTTGATGATCATGTAACCTGACAGTCTCACACTTGGCCCACATCCGTGGGTCTGATCCGCTTCCTCCCAACCCGCGTGCATTGCCAGCACTAATCGGAAGCATGTACCTCAGCAGTGTTACTAAGATGTATCTGACTCAGTAAGATGTGTGTACGTCAGCTGTGTTAAGAGGTAAATGATCAAACTGCACCTTAAGTCTAATCACTGAACTATGAATATGGCTAATACTAAAAAGCTACTACACAGCTCCTTATGACACATTGCATGTTTTTTTTAAAAAAATATGTCATTGTGTTGTTTGATCCATTGTATTTGGAATATAATTTAATAGTTGTGCCACACATGATTTTCTTATAAATTCTTTATTGTCTTTTAGGGATATAAATATGTGTTACCTTTATAAAATATACAATACACTTGAAATGTAAATCAAGCAAATAGATATGATCTCTTAATTTTTCTTTATTTAGTTTTGATTGAAAAAGAAATAAAATGTTAGGGGCTGGGGATTTAGCTCAGTGGCAAAGCACCTGCCTCGCAAGCGCAAGGTCATGAGTTCGGTTCCAGGTACCGGAGGAAAAAAAAAAAAAAAAGAAAGAAAATGTTTTCATGTGTGTAATATGGTCAGCCTTTATCTATTGATAGATAGATAAAGTTATCCATAGATAATTGCACTACTAAAGTTATCTATAGACAGTTGTACTACTAATTTCTATTGGTTCATTGAAAGGAACAATTTGCTAGTACTTATATTGTCTGATTAATTTTGCATGCCTATGTCTGGTAATCTGAGCAACTACTTAGAAGATAACGGTATGCAATATAATATCCAATGTTAATTTCCTATCATCTTGTTTTGAAATCTGTATCATTTTTATTGTTTTTTTCGCTCTTTAAAATAATAAAAAAACACCTTTATCACACAGCATGTGCTCATTATTTCTACAGAACTACATTAAATTTCCACTCTGATGAAAAGAACATTTTTCCTACATAATTTACCAATAAGAGGTTATACTTATCCAATGACAAAATATGAAATGACATAAAGAAATCTCCATCTAAATTTGCCAGTAATGTCCTCCTTTCCTGTCTTTTTTATGAAAGAATAAAACAAAATTTCATAAAAATAATAATAGCAATAATAATTAGTACACCATGTATCATAATTTAAAAGTAGAGTACAGATATAAATAAAAAAGACTCTTACAGAGAAGAAACAAACTGTCTTAACAGTTAATAAGATGTTTTAAAAATAAAATAAGCCTGGTTCTCCACACTGAGTGTACTTCTTGGAAGATACACGCTCTCAGTGGTCAATGTCCACATTTTTAATTTTCAAGAGTGGCGCCATTTGAAATGCCAAATATTTAGCACATCTTATTATCCTTGCTCAGAGATGATAGTCATGATACAATTCACATGAACATAAGCCTATGTGTTAGTCAGGTTTTTGTTTATGATCAAACACCTGAGAAAACAACTTAAAAGAGGAGAGATTTACTCTGACTTAGAGCTTCAGAGGACTCAGTCCATGGTCAGCCTGGCTCCATTGGGTTAGGACAGTGTGAGGCAGAAGTGTACAGTGGGAGTTTTGGCATAGGAAAGCTGTGAATCTCACGGCACTTGGGAGGCAGACGGAAGAAAAGAGCCATAGAGGGAGAGGTCGGGGCAAGACAGACCTCAAAGCCACACTTCCTCACACACTGCTTTCAACGTGGCTTAGTCTCCCACACTCCAATTACCCCCCAATAATGCCAATGAATCATTATCTCATCAATGCATTAATAGAATAATGAAGTTAGAGCAGTCATGATCCCATCACCATCTGAAAGCCTCACTTTTAAACCCATGAGACTTCTGGGTGTGTAGTAAAGAGAGTGGTTACTTATTACCTTGCATGTGTTAAACATGTGTAACTTCATCACTACAAACTTTTGCATAGCATTAAGAAAAAGCTGTGACACACAGCGTGTTTTACCCTCACAGGTATGAATCTCTAGTCCTAAGCACCCAACAGAAACAAATAGAATCCTGATTGGTAGCAGTCTAGGGGAAATTGTATGCTAGCAATTTTAAAGACACTTTAGTGTTTATATTACCAACAAACTTAACTTATTGGTCAAGGATATACCTAAGTCAAGTGAACTAAAAGGCATTTGGGCTGATTTAAGGGTTTTATTTTATATGAGAACTCGGGTGTATAAGTCAGTTTGGTACCATCCAAATGATATACAAACAGAAACACATGTGAACAGAACATATATGAAAAGATACATAAAAAATAGACCAAAAATCCAAATCCCAGCATTTGGGAAGCTGAGGCAGGAGGATCACTGGGAGTTTGAGCAAGCCTGGACTACATAATAAGTTCATGTCCAGCCTGAACTATATAGCAAGACCTTGTCACCAAAAAAAGAAAAATGAAAAAGTACAAAGATTTTGTAGATTTATTTAGAATCATCATTTTCCAGTTTTAAAATACTTACACTGTTGATCTGATTAGCTTTTCCATCATGCTAAGCATTCCTTAATCTTAAACTTGCATTTAAAAACCCATCTTAGTGAAATAAAGTAGAAAATACATATCTCCAAGACACAGAACTTTACTGAAATAATAGGATATGTAAAGGCTCAGAGAAAGCAAATTTTTTTTTTGTTTTTCTTCCGGTACCAGGAATCAAACTCACAACCCTGCACTTGTCAGGCAGGCACTGTGCTGCTGAGTTAAATCCCCACACCGAGAAAGCAAATATTTTAAAGGTGAGGTTATTATGCAGATTTAAATTATGATCCATCTCTATTTTCTAGGCAGAAGAAGGAAACACCCTTAAAAGCAGAAAGCTGACCCAGCAAGAAAGCTGCTGCCCCCCACTGGGATGGGGTGAGCTTTAGCACGGTGAGAGAGGCGGAAATGGGAATCCAGATGCCCTATAGGCCCTGGGAAAGCAAAGGGACAGAAAGCTTGCTCTGGCTGCTCAGATTTGGAGATGCGCCTTGGGCAGGCAGACTGTGAGTCCAGCTGCCAGATCCCAAAGTACTGAGTGTGTAGCGTAGAGGTGGTGCTAAATTACATTTTAAATGTTGGTGACCAGCTAATATTTAAAACTTGCATATGCCCACAGCAGCTCACTCACAATCCCTGCTCACACTTAGCTTCATGGACCTGTGTGTTTTCAGCCTCATCTTACTGGACTCCAGAATATTTGTTTCTTGCAGCCTTTTCTCAGTGTTTTAAGGCTGATATAGTATTCTCTAGTATGACTGAGCTCTGACTGCCTATCTAATGGTAAGACATGCTTCGACAGCTCATTATTTCCTTCCTATTTCGCGTTAAAGACAAACCTGTCCTGAACACCTCTCTTCCACTCTTACACACTTTTTCTCCCTTGCACACTTTCACTGTTAACAGTGGGGTAGAATCCTGAGCCAAGCAGCCTGGAAAAGGCTACGGCTAAAAGCAAATTTAATATGGAAGCCATCAGCTTGGTTCAGTGCTCTCCTAAGCTTTGCATTTTAGAAGCCCTGTATATTTGAGGAACAGAAATATAATGAGGATTTTTTTAAAAAGCCAGTAATAATTAGCATTACAGCTGCATAGAATGTACATGTATGTAATTATGTGGCTCTGCCTTTGTCACCAACTCGTGTGGGTTCTTGCTTCAGTGCCAATGGAAATTGAAACTGAAGATTCAGCATGGATTTAACACATTCACAAAAATCTTTCATTGCAAAGTAGGACAAGATGAGAAGGGGACACAAAGCCCTGATAAAGATCAAGCTGTTAGCAAAAGAAGTAAGAGAAGATAGGAAAGGGTAGGAGGCAGCGCTCCAAAGAGTGGGATCAAACTGGCCTGCTCTCAAAAGAACAGATAAGAGGTTTCTAGGGCGCTGTGGTAGACTGGGGTCTGGTGATCATTATCTCAGTCCTGATCTTGTAGCTCTGAAGGAATCTTTGTGCCCTGGGGGCAGTTTGGTTCCTAAACGATGACTCTGTTTGAGGCTCTGCTAGAATCCAAGGTGACTATCAGTTTGGGGCCATGCAGACTTCTGGGTGTAGCTGAACAGCCTTATAAATCTCCTATCTTGCTCTTGAAGGGGGATGAGATAGGCCAGGTAACCTAGGGCTAAGAAATCTTGCTGACCACCGTTTGGGCAGACGTTAATTTAAGGGACTGCCATGCCTATATGCAGAACTGAGAAGGATCTGACTCAGAATTTCACATGAGAGGCAAACTTTGTTCTGCCAGTAGTCACTCGTTGGGCATCTGTAAGTCCAAGTGAAGAGTCATAGTTTTTAAGAGAAATCACTTCCAAATCTCTGGTTTCCTCATAGGAAAGATAAATCATGCTTTTCATCAGTAATGGGTTGAAGACCCAGGATTTTGTTTGTCTGTTGTCCCTTTGGTGGTCTCTAATTGTGTCATTTCCCCCACTGACTTTATTCTCCTTAATCTTAAGGAGAAACGAACAGATATCTTTCCCTCTCCCTCCCTCCCTCCCTCTCTCTCTCTCTCTCTCTCCCCCCCTCTCTCTTTCATTTATTAATTTTTTTAAAAGTCACATTGGACCCACAGTGTTTGGCGGCCACTGAAGGCACAGGGAAGCCTGAACCAATGGTGCCTGAGTGACTCTTTGACCAGTTGACTGCACTCTTTAGAGGTTAAGGTGCACAGGTGTGGTGGGAAGTTACTGGAGGTCTTCCCCCTTTTTTCTTAACGTTCCTATGATTGGTGCCTTTTTAGTAGCTCCTGTAACAGCTGGCACTGTTTAGAGCCCCTTTCTAGATCCAGTTAGCACTCTCTTTTTTATGTCATTAACACTCTCTACCTTTATTTTCCTGCTGGGTGTTTAAGACTGAGTATTTAATCAAAATTAACTTCTTTCTATACTGGTGAGGTCAGTCAAGACATCTCAAGGGTTAGCTGGGGGCCCTGTGAGGAGCTTCATGGCTCCTCAACTCTACCAGTTGTATCATCCACCAGGGTGGTTCAGTGTCTTGCTGACCATGTGGCTTTCCTGGGAAGCTTTGGGACCTTCCCCTCTCTGATGAGCCTTCTCTGTAGAATGTGCACTGATTGGCTCCTGTCATCTGTGGTCCATGCAAACTCCCTGCTCAGGAGGTTGGATGACCCATTAAAGTTGCAGGTCTTGTCATCCCTTGGATCCTCTTAGTCTTTATCTTCCTTGGCTTTGGCCTCCATGTTCCAGCTTGGAGTCAAATGCCCAGAAGATAGTGCCATACTCTGGAAGTGGGAATAGTGGGTTCAAAC